ATTACTATAATTCTCTATTTTGCGTGTAAAAGATTTGAGTTAATTAAAAAATTTAAGTAATTTTATTTTAATATTTTAACTTTTTTTTTAATTTATCGAATTATATAAAAATTTGAATTTTAAATAGCTAACTTAAAAAAATCAGTAAAATAACTATAAAATTTTTAAATCAAAATTTAGTTATATGTCAGTTACCAAAACAAAAAATCAATAAAATAATTGTGAATTTTTTAAATTTTTTATTGGAAGATAATTCTAATATAAAAAAAATCTACTAAACTATAAATCCTTAAAAAAAAAATTTAATTTATCAAGTTATCTGAAATTTTAGATTTTAAATATTTTTTGTAAAAAATATCATCATAATAATTGTAATATTTATAAAAAAAAAATTATCAAATTATATAAAAATTTGAAATTAAAATTTCTGAATATGTCAATTACAAAGATAAAATTAACCCATATATTATATATTGAACACAAACATCTATCGTGTGGGAGAGTTTTTAGATACTTTTCTTCAATAAGAGAGTTTTAGAAATATTTTTCATTTTTTTTATCTAATTTGATTATTATTTATTAATTAAATTTTAATATTTTAAAATAAATTATTAATAAATAAATACATTTTCAGAAAATAATTTCTGCAAATATATATTTTTATTTCTTTCATAAACTACTTTCTTAAAATACATTTTCTTTCTTTTAAAATATACTTTTCCAAAATATGTTTTACATTTCCAAATTTAATATATATATTGAATAAATTAGTAAATTTAAATATATTTATCAAATAAACTAACAAATTTACATTTCTAGAATTTTCTATTTTACGTGTGTAAAATTTAGGTTAATTAAGCATTTTTAAGTAGTTTTTCTTAATTTTTTTAACTTTATTTTGTCTATCAAATTATATATATATATTGAATTGACTAACAAATTTATATTGCTATAATTTTCTATTTTACATGTAAAAAATTTGAGTTAATTAAGTATTTTAAGTAACTTTATTTTAATGTTTTAATTTTTTTTTAATTTATCGAATTATAAAAAAATTTAAATTTTAAATAGCTCAGTTTTTTTTTTTGGTTCGTCCCTGGAGTATCCACCGCCGACAGCAGTGACTAATCTCCTCGCTACGTTGGAGGCTGATGAAGATATTTTTCGCAAACCTACCACTTGGCAAGTGAACCAAGTTTCGAAGTAGTATTTAAAGATCGTCCTCAGGGATTTGCGTGTTTAGTAATTCTCGCTCTAATGATTTAAAAGAGAATGATTTTGAAATTGCAATTGAATGAAGATAGATTCAAACAACACAATAAAGCAAATGTAGTAAAGACAATGATAAGGAAACAAGGATTGGCTCAGAGCACTTGCTAACTCATAGATCTTCTTAAAATAAATGCAATTCTAATTTCATTATTTCCACGTTCATTAAATAATCCAACAAGATTCCTCAAGGTTGAATCCTAAAGTCATTAAGCTCAAAACATGATTCCTCAATGTTTTGAGTCTAACACTTCGCATTAAGAACAATAACTTGAACAATGTGACTAACCAAATCAAGTCTATTCCTAGAACAAGAAGTGATTAGGTGCAAGATTCAGTTCGGGTTTTCGAAAGCGTTTTCCAACTGGATTCAAAAGCCAAAATTCATACAACGGTTGATCAAGCCGATATAAGCGTTAAGCGAAGAATCAATACACAAATAATGAGATCAAAATGCATATATTTAAGAAGAAGAGGAGTTAGTAGTTACATCTAACCAATCCTTAAGAAGTTTAGCCACCCATGGCCATTACAGAATCAAAGAGTGAAAAGAAGAAATTACAAAGCAAAGGATGAAGAAATGGAGTTGATCTTCGTTCCCAAAGGATCCAGCTTCCAAATCTCTGTTCTTCCTTCGTTCTTCCTTCCCCACCAGCTTTTCCCCTGTTTTTCCCTCTTAAATTCGTGCTCCGTATGATGCCCCCAGTTCTCCTCCTTTTTCCCTTTTATATCAGCTCTAAAACTGGGCAAAAAGTGAAATTTTTAACTCCACCGCTGCAGCTGTAGAACCACAGTTATGGCTGTGGAGAATCCTTCAAGGTGAAGTAACTTCTGGCGCTGCAGCTGTAGCTCTGCAGCCATGGCTGTGGAGACTCCTTCATGATTAAGCAACTTCGTGAGCTGTAACTGTGAAACCACAGCTATGGCTGTGAGTCTCTGTGGCTTCCCTTGATTTCCCAAGCCTCAACGCTCAAGCCTTGGACCCTGCAGCTGTAGCTTCAAGTCTCTGGAACCAAAAATGAGCACTCCAGATTTCCACAGCTATAGCTGCAGAACCACAGCTATAGCTGCAAGTCTCTGGACCTCTAAATCCTTCCCAGACTTCCTCGAGCTCCAGATCCACAGCTATAGCTGTGGATCTCTGCCTAGCCAAAAAAATCCTGCAAAAAATGAGACAATTCCTTAAGATTACTACTACTCCTCTACTCTTACAGTATGACTTAATTCTATAAATAAAAGGGGTGAAATGTCATATAAATATCTACAATTATACAAAAAGATTTCCAAGAGTTGAGTGCAAAACATACAAAAAAAGACACTCAACAGAGGCACCTCAAAGGGTGGGATAGCTGGCCTTAAGATTTAAGGCGGCTGCATATGCAAGGCAGGATTCGAACCTCTGACCTTGCTTAAGCGTGGATCAACCCCTACCGCTGAACCACACGCTTGGGGTTAAAATAGCTCAGTTTAACAAACCACTAAAATAATTATAAAATTTTTAAATCAAAATTTAGTTATGTCAGTTACCAAAAGAAAATCACCAAAATGATTATGAATTTTTTTTTAAAAAAATTATTGAAAGATAATTCTAATATATATAAAAAAATCTACTAAGCCATAAATCCTTAAAATCTTTTTTTATCATTTATCAGATTATCTGAAATTTTAAATTTTAAATAGTTTATGTAAAAAATATCATCACATAATTGTAATATTTATAAAAAAAATTATCAAATTATATAAAATTTTGAAATCAAAATTTTTTAATATATCAATTACAAAAATAAAATTAACCCATATATGTTATATGTTAAACACAATCATCTATCTTGTGCGAGAGTATTTTTAAATACTTTTCTTCAACAAAAGAGTTTTTAAAAATATTTTTTATTTTTTTATCTAATTTAATTGTTATTTATCATAAATATTTGAGTTAAATTATAATTTTTTAAAATAAATTATTAATAAATAAAAATAATGTTGTATTACAATATAAATTATTTATCATAAATTTAAAATATAATTTATAAATTTAAAAATATCTATTTATACAAAATTTAAATATAATTAATATATTCAAACATAATATTTATTATAAATTTTAGTTATATATAATTAATATTTAATCTATGCATCACATAAACTAAAATACTAGTAATAATTAAGAGTGTTGACAAATAAAGAAGAGTTGCAATTATTAAATAATAAATATGTCTTAAGAAAAGTGGAAACCAAAAAATAGTATTTGTTTCACTTATTGTTATAAAAATATTTAGTGTGTGCATTACTAAAATACTAGTAACTACAATAATTACAAAATTTATACATTCTTTTTAACAAAAGATAATTATAATATAAAAAGAAAATCAACTAAATGTTAAAACTCTAAACATTAATTTATCAAATTATCTAAAAGAATTTACATTTTAAAAATTTTAGTTAAAAAAATCATCATAATCATATTTTAAAAAAATTAATATACCAAAATATTAAAAAATTTAAAGTTAAAAATTTTAAATATTCAACCTACATAAAAGAAAATCACTAAAATAATTGTAGAATAAATATTTTGATGTAATATCGAAGTTTGATCACAAATAATTTTTTTGGATGAACCTAATTTACTCCATGAAGTTGTTTCATCTGTGAGACCCCATTCTTATTTTCCTTCTCTTCCCATATACTCACTTCATTCTCTTCTCTTCTTCCACAAAGACTCTCAAATTCTCACTTTGCTGATTTACTCTTTTCTTGGACTCAAGGTGGTGCTGCTGAGTAGGTGACTCAGAGTTCTTCTTTCCCCGTCTCTCTTTCCCGCCGTCCGTTCTCTTCTCCTCCGTTGAGCCTTTTCTCTTCCCAGAGCTCGAATTTCTTCGTACCGAGGTAAGGGAAGCTAGGTTTTGCTGTTTTTGGTTGAGAATGAGTCTTAGAAACTCATTGACTGCTTGTTGATGGATCATCTTTGGCTGAAATTGAAGAAAAATTAGTTTTCGGGTTTTCGAGGTTCAAGTGAAATTTGGGTTTTTCTCATTTGATGGTTGCATGTTGAAAAAGATGATGTTTATGAACTCATAGATGTAAATGTGGACTTTTGGATGGTTTGCATGTGGATTTCCTGGTTGGTTTTGCAGGTTTTGAGGAGATTTTTGAAAGTTTGAGAGTTGCTGCTGGGTATCACGCCGGGCGCAGTTCTTCACACCGGGCACGTGACCACCAGGAGGCTCTATTTGGGCAAGCCCACCGGGCGCAAAGATGTGTACGTCGGGCGAGCTTGAGAATGTGAGCCTCTGGTTGGCCCACGTCGGGCGTGGTATGACCACGCTGGGCATGATATTAGTATGTGACATGCTTTTGGGAGTTTATGGTGTGGCGTCGGGCGTGATCTTGTCTCGCCGGGCGTGGAGACTCCTTGTGAGTCTCTGCCAGAGGTGGCGCGGGGCGCAATTGATATTGTGTCGGGCGTGAGACTTTGGGGAAGTCTCTGCTTATCCTGCACCGAGTGCAAGTTTGCCATGCCGGGCGTGTGAGACCTTTGAGGCTCTCTGCCTCCTATCACGCCGGGCGCAATAGGAATTACGTCGGGCGCGCTGGTCCCTGGTGCTCTCTGGCTGTGCCACGCCGGGCGTGACCACGAGTGCGCCGGGCGCGGATGTGATGTGTACTTATAGGCTGGTATGTGTTGAATTTTGCTGAAAATTGTTGTGCTGTAAGTTGTTTAGCTGTGCTGTGCTGTGAGTTGTGTTAGCTAGGCTGTGAGTTGCTTGATTGTGTTGTATAATGCTGAGTTGTATGTTGTTATTGCTGCTATGCAGTGCTGTGCTCCGTGCTGATAGGAGCTGTTGTAGGCCGTAAGGCTGAGCTGTTGATCACTAAGACTAGAGGAGATGTTTTCGAAATTTTCCTCATCCCATTGTGTGGATGCAGCGGCTGTGGTGCTCTTAGAGCCCAATTTGTTGAAAACCCTCCTTGGAAAGCTGACCCTTGGAGTGGTAACTTGCTATTCTCCTCTAAGTTCTTAGTGGTCCCGTGTGTGGGCAAGGTCGAGGCACACGTATACAAAGCGACCACGGTATAGGGGTCAGGTCAAGCTATATCGATTACAAGCGACCAATACTAACTAATATGCGTGACGACGCATTGTGTGTTACCTATTGTTTACTGCTGTTATTGCTAAATGCTTTGATATATTATAAGCTGATGTTATTAAGCTAGTTGATGTGCTAATAGTTGTAGCCGTTTACCATTCATGTATTTATACATATGTATCTTGATTCTTTTCACTAACTTACCCTTTATTGTTTCCATGTGGTTTGGACTGCAATGATTATACTATATATGAGAGCAGAATAGGGTTAGATTGGTGAGCTGAGGAGGGTCTGTAGCTGGCAGATGGAGTTTTATTCTTTTGTTATTTTTAGCTACTTAGTGTAGCATTGCTGGATGTATTTTGTATAATCTGACACCTTATCCAGATTTGGACCTTGTATATATATATATATATTCTAGACGTTATATGTATATACTTGATCTTTTCTGTGTGGTGTGTTGTGTTGTGTGTAGTAACCAGTCGGGTCGTTACATCATCAATGTTGATTTTTTATCACAATTTTAGTTTGTCTTTTTATCTTTTATCTTCCCTCCAATGTAGCTACTTATTTAAGATTTTGCAATTTTGATAATGTCTACAAATAATAATACTTTTTGTTCTCATTAAACATAAATGTCTTATATCAATCCTTATTTTATTTTATAATGTGTATTAAGAAAAATAATATTCAAACTAATAACGATCTATATATTTGCACAAGTTATTAATTAGTTAATAACATTAACAATATACTTTCAAAAAAGTTTTTTTATATAAGAAAGTACTTTTGAAAATATGTATTTTTTATTTCTAGAAAATATTTTGAAAGTATTTTTTTTTTTACTTCTAGAAAATACCTTCTAGAAGTATGTTTTATTTTTCTTTCAGGAAGAACTTTTTGGAAGTATATTTTTTTTTTCTTCCCAGAAGAACTTTCAAAAAGATAAAAATATATTTTTAGAAAAAAGAATTAGTAAGAGCAATTTTTCTCTTCTAAGAGTATATATTAAGAACTAGAAAGTACAATTCCATAATAATAATTGTATAAAAATGTATTGTTGCTAATTAATAATTTATTCTAAAATAATGTATTTATAAAATTCACAATCTTGTATCTTATGTATGCAATATTGAAAATAGAGTTGATTTTTAAAATTGTTGAAATTAAAGTGCAAAAAATTAGAATATAAAAAATAATAAAGATGAATCAAGAAATTGAAAGGAAAAAAAAATAAATAAGGAAGGCATATGAAGAGTGACTAGAGAAGGATAAAGTAGTGAAAGAAAATAGGTGGAAGAAGTAGGGTTGTTTGTCGGTTCAAACATTCTAATAAAATCAATGAATTGAACTAAACCAATTAAGTTGGTTTGATATTTTTTTTCTTGATCAGATCAAATCCAATTCAAACCAGTTAAATATAATCATAATTGATTCAAATCAAAAATTTGTATTTTACTAATCTGATGATCCGTAAACTTAAAATTATTATTATTATTATTATATTATTATTATTATTATTATTATTATCATTATCTTAATATTATTTTATAATATAATTTTATTAGTAACACATAAATGTAACATTACTATACTGCACTAATAATGTGTGTATACTATATTGCAATTATAATAATTTTTATGATGTTATTATTTAATAATGTTATTTTTGTATTATTATTTTATTAATTATCCATACTCACTTATCAATTACAATGTAATTTATACTTGCATACACTGACATTTGACTTTGTCACTTTTTAGTTAGTTCCAATATGTGATGTGTATGTATTTATCATGTTCCGTTGCTCATCGATCATCCTTAACTAAAGTTTAAATTAACTTGCTTGTATTGCTTACATGTGAACTAGCATGTTTACTTTGCGAGTTTATAATTAAAATGCAAGCTTAAGGTATGCCTAATATATTAGTCTATAATATCTTTTATTTCTTCAAGTAATTTTAGTTCTTACAAATCCTCTATCTCAATGAGTTAGGTGAAAAATTCTAATGAAAATCTCAAACATACAATTGAGTATTAACAACATATTCTTAAACATATTCACCCTAATACTTTATTATTAAGTAAGATTTATTAGAAACATGAGAAAAATTCATTAAACAAGTACTAATGAACAAGAGGGGATTGAATTAAGAATTTAGTTAGTTTTTGCATCTTGTCTATGACATCTTTTTTATTTGTCTACTTAAGTTTGACTTAGAAATTTGAATAATTAGACGTTAACCTCTAAGCAGGTATACAATTTTAAGCTAAAAAACCAGTACAACATCGTCAACATTCCAATAGAAAAAATTCTGAGAAAATAATAGATATGCCAATTTCGTTTTTGTAAATCTAACCTACAGAACAATTATATTCAAATTTTGAATATCCATAGAATGCTAAAACTAAACTCCCCCAACACAGGTTTCTCGAACTCATGACTGGAACTCAAAGCGTTCAAAGGAAAAAAAAATAAAATAAAAAATTAAGCATGTACACTTGAACCGATTACCTGATTCAATTTCATTGAGTTGTTTAATAAAATTTAAATACTAAAATAATAGAGCTAGAGAAAATTCAGAGCTCATTCCAGTTGAAAACCCGAAGAAAAAAAGTTCAAACTGGCCTCTCAAAATGATTTGCTTCAGGTAAAGCAAATGCAATTTTACATATGGGAAATGCAATCTAATGGAATGACGAAGTCCATCGCGCAAAGTTCCTCCTACAGGAATTGAAGTCAAACCATCTAATGTCACCACACTTAAAAGCAAGGTAAGGTGAAAATAAACTCTCCATTTTCCGTTATAGATAGCAAAAATGCTTCAATCTTTAACTACATACTTGTGACTTCATCTCGTGTACTCAAAAGACAAGCTCAAAACTAGTCTTGCTTAGCAGTAGTGTAGACAAAAACTAGTACTACTGGACATTGTTAAGAGGTTCCCCTGGTGCATGAACCAAACGTCCATTTTGAAGTAGGTTAGCAGGAAAGGAGGATTGGCAGCTACTAATATGTGATTTTAACCGAGGTATGTTTGGATGCGCACTTCTACATCTGTGGCACCTCAACTCCATAGACAGTAACTTGTCATCATCTTTCAGTGTTGCCTTCCCATCAGTAGATATCTCATCCATTACATCAACCGAGTCACGAAAGAAACCAGTGTTAAACGAGTTCCAGTGCTTCTTATTCTTTAAATGTGTTGATTCAAAGTCCTGGCTAATAACATGTAAATGTAGTTGTCGCATTGATGGAGCCTGCAGAAGGAAAAGAAAAGATTTCTAACAACTGATGAAGATTTCAGTTTACAAATGATACACCTAAAAGCATGCCCAACAGAATGAGAAAAAAAAAAAAAAAAAAAAGTAGAACCATAGCATTGCAGTTACTTGGTGAACCTTCTCAAACATTAAACCAATACTAACATGGTCAAGTAAATTTTTTAGAAGCTTATTTGTTTCACAATTTTAAATATAGCAATATATTCCTTCCAATAATTGTCCTTGGTGGATATCACTGCTAATATTTATCAGTAATAGTCTGGGTTATTGATTAATATGCTTAACCACAAAAGAAGTTGTCTTTAAACCCCCAATTTTTAATGAGTCCAATTTAGCCATCAACTAACTAAAATGCACTTTTTTGATAGAAATCACAATGTACCAAAGTCGCTCATTATTTAAAGGCAGAGGAACATTCTTTTCTTTTCTTTTTTTTGTGTGGGGGAGGAAAAATAGTTCTTGAATATATACTCTGCATACCGAGTGATATCCAAGACGAAATACCAGAGAAGCATTCTCGTTCAAGAACTTCTCAGCCCACTTTAAACCCACATCATGCATCTTCCTCAATAACTGAAGGTGCTCCTTTTGGACATCTGCCAGAAAATCAAGACCCCCAGTTCGTGCCAACACCAGAACATGCTTCCGTGCCTGCAAAACAAGTAAATTCAGTTTGTTATATTTGAAATGTCAAGAATGACACAAAATGGGAAGAAAAAGGACTAATTCAACCTTAGGATACATGTCATTCAATACAACAACATCTTCGGAAATTTCAAGCAAATCACCCTTATGCTTTTCAGGATGCATAGCTATTTGGTGAAGCGCTTGAGCCCATGATCCCCATGCCTTATTCATGCTCCCCTCAGTTCTTCTATGCTCTGAAACTACCTTTTCATCTCTAGAATCAGTAAAGGTCGATCCAAATCCACCCCGAATCCCCTTATATTTCTTGCTTTTTTCTGATCCATGATCATCATCTCTCTTACTCTTTTGATCGGTATTTGTGAAAATACTTCTGACAAAACAATCAGACTGAACCTGCAACTCCAAAGATTTTCTTCCTAGGTTTTCTTTTTTTACCACTTGTTGCCCTGCCTGGTTCCTCACAATTGATGCAAAACCTTCAAACAATGAAGTATAAGCATCCTGGAGAATTTTACAACCTTTATCATAGTCATTATTCAGACAATTTGGCCTTTGTGGGTTCATATTAGGTCCAAGAACATGTATTACATGGGTCACACCCTCTCTGGTGAACAAAGGGGAAGATGAAGGTAGAGGGACAACTGCAGCATTCCCCGGCAAAAGAGATTTTACTTTTTCTTTTGTTGCAGATTCCAGTTCAGGACCTGCAGCATTAAAAATTGCTGCATTAACACCTCCACCTCCAGGTTTCAACCGCCTGCAAAGGATTTTTCACTTAACCAAGAGAAAACTTGAAAAATGGCAGGTTTATCTGACTGAAAATATAGTTTATTAAAAGTTTTAAAAGCAAAACGGGGGCTGGAAAATAAATAAAAATAATGACATCCACATCAACCAAGAAGCATGCCTTGGTGTCAACTGTAATTGTAATGGATGCCAAAAACAAAGGCAGTTTAATTGATTGATTAGCAGCTGAAATTGTATAACATAAGATAAACGAAACCATGATAGATTCCTAAATGCTACATTACAGTCAACAGAAAATTCCTTGTTGGTTCAGAACTGGAGACCAATTCACAGATACAAAATGCCATACCATCATCCAACAGTCATTATGGTAAGTTGACACACACATACGGGGAGAGGGTCCTCATCTCGTGTTTATCAAATTTTATTTCGAACTTATGGATTAATGTTAAATTGAATTACATATACACTGAAATCATAGAACCTTACCAGTTGGCAGCATTAGCTATGACATTACAGCGCAAACCTCCCCTGGAATAAAGGTGAGTAATGTCCCCAACATGGGTAAAGAACTTTTGGGTGTCAATGTTTTTTTCCACAACTTTAGCTTTAATTAAGGACAGAATCTTTGATTTATGAGACAAGTCAACTAGAACAAGTCTGGCATTCTTTAACTTATTTGAGAACTCTGCAACCTTCTCAACAATAATATCAGCTGCCTTCTCATGGTTGAATTGGAAATCAGATGTTGAAATAGATGGAAATGCTAGAGTGGGAATATCATCCAGAGAAACTTGATTGGCATGGGAACCAGCAGAGCTAACTGCTTGGCCTTCAGCTTCCTTTGTCTCTAAGTTGGCATTATCTAGAACTGAGCAAAATGTTTCCTTATCTTTGCAGCAGGAATTACTTTTCCCAGGAGTCTGGGAAGTAGGGTCTCCAATGCCACTCTGTCCAGATGCAGCATCAACTGGGGCCTCTGCTTTTTTCAGAAACTTCATTATACCTACTTGAATTTTGGAATCTGCCTTCTGACCAAAACAGCCATGTGGAAGACCATCCAGTGGCCCAAGTGTGCTGTATGTATTAATAGCACTTTTGACATCACTCTCATTCTGACAAAATGTTATCCGGTTAAATCCTTCACTTAATTTGGGAAGCTCTTTATTTTGAAGCATTCTATTCACAACTGCAGCAGCTTTTCCACCCTGCAAATTTCCTTCATGCCCAGTCCGTTTGACAGACCGAGAAATACAAAGCTTAGCAGGAAGATCAAGTACAACTGCATGGACATCTATTTGGGGTCCATCACCAAGCTTTATAAATTCTGAGCGCTGTTCTCTGTCAAGATTGCACCTATCAATAAATACACTCTTCCCATCCTTCAATGCTCTAGTTGCACTGCTTAAGCACTGAGCTTTACTTCCTGCTTTACCATTTCCAATAGTGTCCTAAAGCAAACAAATACACAGTATAACCAGTGTTAGATAAGATCCAAATCCATTTTGGGTCGACCTGTTCCATGGCACAACAGATGGGAGTAAGATTCTGCACATCAAACCCTCCCCAGACCCCCACAATCATTCTGCATATGGTAGTCAGCTTGTGTATGACAAATCCTCTCCAGACCTTAAAATGGTTGTCAGCCTTGACTTAGGGGTGGTGTTGAGGCACAGCCAAAACCCTTAACCATGATAAATAGACTACTTCTTTAAGTATTTCCGATTTCTTTCTCAAGTTCACATTAAATACCTTATATAATATCCTTTGCCTAGGATATAAATCTCAAGAGAGAAGATTATTAACTGAACCAAGAAGCATAAAACAAGAGGTAGACAGTACTAAGAGATTTGTCAAGGCATTATTAAAATTTCATCGACATATACATGGCTAAACAAATTAAACATTATTAACTAGAGGTAGACTCTGTACTAAGAGGGCTAGCTTGTGGTTTTGTTATCTCTTATAATTTTCCTTTCTTTTGTTCTAATGTTAAAAATCTCAAATACATCTTATAAAACTCATTACTTCTTATCAATAATATGCTTTATTAAAAATATACTTTAACCATGAAAACAGGAAATATTTATTAAGAAACAATAGCAATCTCTTCCAAATCCATCAAATCGATAAAAATGTAAAAATAAAAAAAAATTGTTGGTCTGTTGGAGAGTTAAGAAAAAATCCCACATTTTCCTTCCCTTCACAATAAAAATATCCAAAAACAGGAAACATTTCCCTTATCCTCCCTCCAGACATACCCTTAAGTCCACATTCAGGCAAAGAGTGACACACCCAATAAAACACATCAATGGCCTACGACTTTTCATATATATGCAAATGTCCATAAACAGGATTAAGATCAAAAGGCATAAAAAATTACCCTTGATTCATCTCAGACTTACCAAGCAAATAAAAAGGTAAAATTCAACCATTTTCCATCAATTCCCCACGACACACTAATGCCCAAAACCCGTTTTCATGATTTTAAATCGTGGGAAAATGCAACTGTAATTTCAGTATTGCAAAACCTTAAAATCCTCAACATTGCAACCATGATCGTGGTCGTGAACAGCAGCTTAAAAATATAAACCTTATTAGTTTTCTTTTCACGGTTATCTTATCAGCTATTACCGTAGTAACAACAAAAACTCGAGTGGTGAAAGTGAAACCCAGTTAGACATTTCATCGAACAGGTAAAAGGGAGTGAAGTGAACCTGACAAACGCGAAGCCAAGGGCGAGCAGAGGAACTAATAACCTCTTCGCAGAAGGTGGACTTGCCGCTCCCTGGTGCTCCCACCAAGATCACCAAAACGGACTTTCCCTCTGCGTTTAACACACACACACACACAGAATCATCAAAAGGGTTTCAATTTCCATGATTCATTTCGTGTACTAAGTAAAGGTTGTAGAAGGATACCGTTAGGTGCAGAAGTTTCGTCAACGTCCATGTCCATCTTCAAATTCGAGACTTTTTCATAACCTTGTCATTACTCATTGTCAATTTAGATCGCAAGCAATGGAAATATTATGTTGTTGTGTTGCATGCAAGTTTCGGGGTTGTGTTGGGTTTTGTGTTGCCAAACACCACATTCATTAAAAAATTTGCAAAATTTTCAGATATTTTATAAATAAATAAAAATTGAAGTTAAAATATTTTTTTTCTTATAATTTTACTAATTTTATTTTTTTAATTTACTTTTAAGTTTCTATAATCTAAAATAAATATTTTTAATTTTTATATTTATTTTTTTTAATTTTTTTAAATCTTTATAATTTAAGATAAATCTTTTTAGTTTCTATATTTATAATTTTTTTAATTCATGTCATTATTTCTTTTCTTGTAAAATTATCTATTTTATATTGATGTAAAAGAGGTGTTAATTAACCTTTGTATATTTGATTTCGAATTTATTTTTCTTGATTACTTTAAATTAAAATTTTTAATATCTTGTGTCTATTTTATATCCTCACTTATAACGATTATTGTTGAGACTCTTCTTTTTAATCTATATCATGTCAACAAAATGTTATAAAAAAAATTAACAATAAGGACTGAAAGGGTTAAAACATTTTAAGTATATAATTAAAAATTTATCTTAAACTATAGAGATTAAAAATGATTGAACAAGAAAAGTATAGAAATTTCAAAGTCTATGTTAAACTATAAAAACTAACAAATAAAGTAAGTAAAACTATAAGACTAAAATATATTTTAACTAAAAATTAAATAAAAAATAAATATAATATCTTAAAAACATATTTTTTTAAATATTTATTATGTAAAATATGAGATGTTATAGGAACATTTAAAATGATTTTTTAAAGCGTAATGAAAAATTGTTTGCTATATGATTTTGAAAGTAATTATTATATAATGAACTCAAGACAAGTAACGAAGAAGTTATATGACAAAAAGAACACACAAATTTGAGGTGGGGTTAATAGTGTTTGAGAATAACAAGTCAATGCAAGTTGTTTTGTTGTTTATTTTAATTTTAAAATTTGAGATTTTGGCATTGTTTTGATAAGTTATGCTTATGATGTATTTTGAATTCGGTGATTTAGTATTAAAAAATTTATAAAAAAAAGGAATTATTAGTTTATTAAAAAGAACGAGTGTTTGAAGATGATTTAAGTAAATTTAAGAAAATATTGTGATGGATCATGTAAATTTAATTTTACTTTCTTATTGCCTTATGGATGGATTTGTGTAAAAATTTTCACAAAATGTTTGGACAAGATAACCTTACACCATTGTTTAAATGTATATTTGAAAAAAGTTAGTATTGAGTAAGAATGTAATTGAGTCTTATATATAGGAATGGATGTAGTACTTGAAGTGAGTGTTAGCATATAAGAAAGGGATTGAATTGTTATGCGCTTTAAAAATTTGTTGCTCAAAGTTGTTGCTTCTAAGGGTTGGTGTTGAATATATCTTTTGAAGACAACTTTAGAAGCTGATGCTTCTAGTGCTGGAGCTTAAAGTATTTTTTTGAAAATGGTTTCCAAGCTCAACTATTTGCAAAACAAATTATGCAACAGCATGACAGTGAATGCAATAGCATTAAATAAACATGTTCCCTTAAAAAAGATATGTTCTTTATAAAAACCTATTGCTCAGAAGTTGTTACTTTTAAGTGTTCAAAAACTTTGTTTTCTCATGAATCTTTCTTCCGAGCAATTTAAAGCAACAATAGATTATGCGATAAATATATATATAAAGCGTTAAAGTAACTACAACAAGTAAAGAGATAGGATTAGAGGGATTGCACATTGAGTTTTTAGATTAGTTCACTTCAACCTGGGCTACATCCAATCCCCACACAACCTTGTGCGATTTTCCACTAAATCAACAACAACTATTCTAATTACACCACCAACCACCTGTTAGATTTCAACTCCACAACACAACCGCCTGTTATTCATGTTCCACAATTAGTTATATGCTAAGTTTCCTTTCTTAATAACCTATTAAGACCATAACATTCACAACCACCTACTATGAGTTCCACACATAGCCACCTGCTGAGTTTCCTTCCTCAACAACCTATTGAAACCAAAACCTTCACAACCACCTGCTATGAGTTCACCCAACCAACTAGTTGAAACTTTCCACACCTTTTTTTTCTAAACACCACATTTGGGTAAGATAAGTCTTTTACAAATTCAGGTTTTTGTATCCTATCAACTACTAATATTACAATAATCACTTCTAGACTAGGAGTTTCCACTAAAGAAGTTCACATTCATTTTTTTTCTATTACAGAGTTGATACAAATGTTGAAGTGGGGATCTATGAAAATATCAAAGTATGGAGCAAGGTTTACAACTTTGATAGTCAGTATTTCTCTTTATTTTTGCTCACTTGAAAATGAACCCATTGTCTTCTTTTTATAACCTTCAAAATATGTTTGTTAGAGACAACTTGATTTTTAAGCAGTGCTGACATCAACTTGTACTTTCACTTTAGTGTTGTTAGCATATCCTTCAAAAATAGTCTACTTATAAAGTTTGTTTCTGAGTTTGCTTTTGCGCTTCCTTAGTATGCTTTTGAGTCTACTTCTGTGCAACCTTCTGAGCAAGGTCTTCAATACTAGTCTTTTGAGAAGTTGAATTTGAACTGAAGCTTTCTATTGTAAAGGTTTCATTAGAGATGCTTTTGTACAAGGCCTTCAAGGCATCTTCCCTATAAGAAGATGTCCAACTTAAACTCCCTTGAATCATCAACACATGATACTCATCTTCTAGCTTAGGATAGACATTGTCTCTTGGGCTAATAGTAATCCTTGATTGATATTGAATCTTCTTTTAAGTTGTCACAAGGATGTCTTCATGAAACTTGTAGATAAATAAATCATTGATCATTAGGAATTGGTTTCATGTTGTTTGGATCTCTACAACAAAGTTATTCCTGAAATATTGCAACAACATCATGTTGTTATGGATGGATCAAAATTTCCATATTGTAAAGATAATTTGTCCATGATAGAGGTTTTATTTGCCCACTATTTCTTCATCAAAGTTAGACAATTATTTTATCATTCCATAGCCATCAAGTTTGGTTAAAACACATGTTTATAACTCAATATGTGCTCAATATATTATAACTCAAAATAAAATTTTCATCTTGATTGTCATATTTGTTCATGATGTAGGCTTTTTCAGTACACGACTTATTTATAAAGGTTGTAGATAATTATTCTAGATTTCCTTAGTCACAAAGTTTGTCTCAAGCCCATATCTACACCTCAAGTTATGTGCAAAAAATAGCAGTTGTGTTCTACAGTTAAGACCAACAATATCTACAACTTTTTTTTGCAATTTTGTACATGATCTACTCCATATGAGCTCTTGGCTTCTTCATGAAGAATTTAGATACTTCTTCAAGCTTTTCATAGCCACCAAGATCTTCTCAAATGAATTCCGAAAACTTTGGATATTAGACAGATAATTTCATAGTTTTTCCTTCTTAGCCATTTGAAGCCTCATTTTGATATTTATGTCGTATTGAATCTAAGTCAATATTTTAAGAATCAATCTTGAGTTTTTAATACACTAAGTAAAGTCATTAATAACATAAATACTCAAAAGACTCATGACATTTGTTCATAAAGTTTGTCATAATTAAAATATTAAGGGTTTGTACTCAATAGTGCTAAGTTTGTAATTAATAATAATAATAATAACCTTAGTATCATTATAATATATAAGATAAGATGTAGAGTATGCAATTATTAAACTTATGTTAAATACACATCCCTATGTTAATAATAATACACCTCTATTAGACATTTTTTCCCCTAAAATGTCCTTAACATTTTTTTTATATTTTCTAATATCTTGACTTTACGAACTCTTAAGCCTTTGACGTTCAATTTTTTTTAAGTACTTGTCCCTTTACACACATGCGTCATATGTACCTCATTCTTCATCCTTTGTCTCTTCCTTTTACATGCGCCTCATTATTTTCTCCTTGCCACAAACATTCAATTTTGTTTTCAGGCACTCACCTCTCTTTCACATTAACCCCTTCTTTCATTTTTTAGGATTTCAAAATGGACTAAAATTTAGATTTGTAATTTCCCTTCCAAAACCTAGTTTTTCATAAAGAACTCTTCGAAAGAATTTTTTATAATTACAAAAAGTATTTTTTAGAATAGTAAAGTGTTTCGTAAAGTATTTTATGGAAATGTGTTTTTAATATTTTCAAAAAGTACGTACTAAAACACTAAATTTATTATTAAGGAAACTTTCCAAAATACTAATTTTACTATTTTAAAAAGTATTTTGCAGAATATTAAAAATAATCTTTTAGAAAGCTTTTTTAGAATTATTAAAAGAAATTGAAATCAACGTAAATTTAGTGAATACCTAAAAAATTTGGGATCGACTATATACCTTATGAACACACATAATTGCAAAAAAGTCACCAAGCCATTTCTTTTGAAAGTGCCGATTTACCTGTTATGTATAAGTCATATTAAATAAATTTAAAAAAATTATAAAAGAAACATTTTAAAGGAAATATAATTACTAAACTTAATTCCCGATGGAGGACCGTCCTTGGAGCTTCATGTGGGACCCATTACTAGGTCCAAGGTTAGGAGAGTGGAGGATGATGGAGGAGACACCATGACTAGAGTTATGCTCATCATGTGTGTACAATATTGACCCTCTCCTACGCTTATCTTAAGTAGTATAGAATTTATTATTTTTTTCCTATTTTACCCTTATATTTTGGGGTACCTTAAATTTATAGGATTTATTTTGTATTTCTTATTTAGCCTTTGTATTATGGGACAAATTAGACTAGGATTTATTTTTGGGCTTAAACCTTGACTTGTGAGGCCAAAGTCCACTTTTTTTTATTTTTAGGTCAAAGAGTATTTTAGTCTTTTAGGAGGGAAAGACATCCACACTACATTTAGGGTTAATTTAGGGTGCATTTGGAGTGCATGTGACTTGCATTTCTCGGCCAAGCACCTCTTGCAACCCTAAACCCCTTTCCAACATTCTATAAATACCCTAGGCCACCCACCTTGTAAATACTTTGGATTATTATGATATTGAGTGAGCATTTCATGCCTCAAAATCCTATCCTTAGTCATTAGGTTATTTTCAGTTAACCTACTCCTATCTCTACCCTTGGTGAGTGATAAACCCTAGAGTGGCCTCCACCTTCATCTTGGAGTGTGCCAACCTTCCATGAGAGCATCCACCTTCACGCCCTCCTTCCTTCTCCCCTTGAACGTCCCATTTCCTTCTTGGTGACTAGAAGATCCTTGGTGTTCCATGATCCTTAGAGCAAGGTGACCATTCCATTGAAGCATCCATCCATCAATGGAGAGTGGTTTCCATCAATTCCACTTTTGGTTCGTAAAGTTTCGCAAATGTGAATTTTTATAATTTTTCAAAATCTTTTAGTACAAATTTGGTTCATTAATTTTCAAAATTAAGCAATGTTAGTCTATTGTTAACATGTCATTCAAAATTAAAGAGAAAATGTTGACAAGTTCCTATGAATGATATTACCTGTATATAGTGACTTAGTCATGTAAGAAAATAATAATATTAAAAATAAAACTATTTTAATAAATTATAAATTTTATTTGAAATTAAAAAAACTTAACATATTTGTAGTAAAAAGTAATGTCGTTTCACACATGGAAGTCAACATGACTAAGCAACTATAAGTAGTGTCACTCATAGACTTGTCAATATTTTCTATTTAATTTTGGATGAAATGTTAATAATGAACCAACATAACTTAATTTTGAAAACTATGAAGATGAAATTTACAATAAAAAAATATGGGAGACCAACATTGCACATTTAGGAAACTATAAGGATCAAAAGTGAATTTAACCTTAATTAATATTACATCTTCCTCACTTGTAAATGATGTGTTAGGTCAAAAGACGATCATAGACTTCTTTAAGATTTTAAGTTTTAATGTCAATAAACATAAACATTTTTTCTAGAGAAAATTTTTGTAAACGAAGTATTAAGATAAATAGGCACTAAAATAAATGAGTTATCTAGTCAAATGAAACACTTAGTTTGAAAGATAGTTGCTTTAATTTTATATCATTTATAAAGTCTAATAACTAAATTGTTTGTGTCTATATGATTCCTTAATAGATCGAATAAAAAAAAAGTTTCCTCAATACTCACAATCACTAAAAGGAACAAAAGACATGCTTTACATTAGAAAAAGAACAACAGATCTCCTAAGTCATGGGAAGCATTAGATAAAGTTGCTCTAGATTGCTCTAACTTAACACACACATGGCTACACCCATTCGGTACCTAAAAGGTGACAAGTAGCTTCCTTTATCAGATGAAAAGTAACTATTTGGTGAAAACATTTAATGCACCAATGAACACTTCTCTCCACAAGGAAAGAAGATGAAAACAGATGAAGTAAGCTAGTGAGAGATACTCAAGGATTTGCAATGGTCATTGATAAGTGTCTAATTTACTTAATTAGTTGATCATTTTAGGCACTTATCTATATAGTTTGATATGAAATTGATAAGTAAACTTCATTGTTTGTAACTGGAATAAAAAAGATAAGCAATTATATATTTTGTTGAAAGTTGATGACAATTGTATATTGATTTTGGGCTTGTGGTCTTGTAGGTGAATAAACAAGTATAGTTCAAATCCAAAATCACTGAGTCATTGAGAAAGTGTTGAGTGGTTTGAAGGTAGAGAACAAGGATTTTACCCAAAACTGCTTAGCTGTTTGGAGAGCACTGAGTGGTTTGGGTCTACAGAACATGAAGAATCTAACCTCAAATGGCTCAACAGATCTTCAGGGACTAAGCCATTGATGTTTCTTCACTATGAAGAATGTTCAAATCATTCAACATTTTCCAAACGGCTAACATATAAAAGGAAAAACAAGGGGAGAAACAAAGAAGAGAACAGAGGAACAAGGTGAAAGAAAGAACACAACTTGAAGGATCTCGGAACCAATTGGGAATGTGGGTTCTTACAAATTTATTTTCTTCTCTTTTCCATTTTCCTTGTATCTTGGATTGGTTCTTATCATCATGAAGGGCTGACCCTTTTGTTTTGTTAGCATTAAATGTAAACTGTCAACTCTTATGTAATTCTTTTGATTCATTTATATATGAAGTATTATTCAATGTTAGTGATTACGGTTCTGTTCTTAATGTTTGGATAAATTGATCTCTTATCTTTGATCTTTCATTTAGAATTTGATTGGAAAACAATTTCTGAATCTGCTCACCCCTGGTTGTTTGGGTGGAAAAATTCACTGCATTGATTTCTTTTGCTGCTGATCCTGTGTTCTTTTTTGCTGATTCTGAATTAATTTGGTTTTTGGCTAACTGATTTGTTTGGCTGAAGGTTTAGCTGGCTGATATATATATATATCTTTGACTAGCGGATTCACTTCAGCCTGGTTCAGCTGCACGTGGTCTGCAACAGAGGTTTTTAGTTGCTGCTGTTCTGTCATGGTAGATATGCCTCTCTAGTTCAGCTTGGACCCTGGCTGATTGGTTGGAGAAACTGGCGGGATGCAATGGCTTCTTTCTGATTTTTATACTTGATTTTGCTCAAATCTGGTGTTGTATCAGATAAAAAATTATTGTCTTTGTTTGAGTATTTAGTATAGCAGCTCGGCATCATTTTTTACTTTTTGGTCCTTGTATTTTTTCCTTTACTTTTAATCTTTTTTGTACTTCTTTTGTGGGTTAAGTCTGTTCACAGCTTAATAAATAAATAAATAAAAAGTTATAATTTCGATAGATAAAAAAAAAAATTAACTCGATGAAGAGCATTATAGATTTATGGAAAACATTTAAAAAAAAAAAAAAAAAGGTCAAAAGTGATGTCCGGAGAGGAAAATGGCACCATTAGCATTATAGATTTTTCTAAACATGTACATGTATATCTACTATAAATTATATAAACATGAAAATTTTTAGTAAAACAGTCATCCGCAACTGGAATGGATATAAATGCTTAGGAGTAAGGAACTAGTCTGCATCTTTACAAAAATGAAGGTGCACATAATATAAATGAAGTATTAAAATGACAAAAGAAACAGCGTTGCCACCATAAGTGAAGCACCCAATTCTAATTAAGTTGCGATATGAGATGTGCAAAGTTGCATCCATGCATCAAGCTATCACATTCACCAGAGATTCACCAGAGGACATAATGGATGGGAGTGAGAGAAAGAATTTTATTTTTGTATTTCCGGTTTTCTCGTCTCAGCAGGAGATGAAAAACAATTTATCCCAAGGCAACACACAACTGTTTCCACTTTTCCATTCTCAACCAAAGGACGCATTTCCCTTCTCTTCATTCCCTTACATTTCTGTGGAAGGAAGGGCTAAACCTCTCTGACAAACGCTGGTAGTACTGCTTTTGCTGCGCCCAAATAAAAAATAAAAAATTCAATATAATTTTTAAAAACTAATTTATCAACCATGAACAGATCTCAAATATGGCAAAAAAATTTAGCAGAATGAGGCATACCTTGTCAGACACAGAGGGAAAGACTCTAGTCAGTGCTTCTTCTATATGCCATGGCTTGATGGTCATCTCCTTGCCATGGTTTGAGGTCCTATTCTTTCTAACAACTGTCATTACTGCTTCTTCCATCTGAATACACACAAAACCTGTTAAACCACAAATTTACTCCCCATTGTTCTTATACAATCCTACATGCATACAAATCAAACCACTTGGACTACTAGTAAAATAGGGATGAAACAGGCAACACCAAAATAGAGCAGAGACAAACCAATAAAGCAAGATCAGCACCACTCATATTTTCACAAGCCTCCGATCTTCCTATGGCACTCAAATCTGTACTGTCATCAATAGGATACTTTCTTGCAAGAGTTTTTAATATTAAAACTCGCTGGTCTGGACTTGGGAGAGGAACGTAAACAAGTCTACCAAGCCTGCCAGGCCGTAAAAGAGCAGGATCAATTACCTCAGGCCTGCAAAAATGCGCAAAAATGAGGTCAATACAGCATGATGTTAAGTTAAATAACATGATAATGAATATGAACAAAAAGTACCTATTTGTTGCTCCAATCACAAAAACATTTTTCCGATGCTCTGCACCATCTAACTCAATGAGCAACTGCAATTTTATATATTTTCAGTTTATTCATGTTTTTATGAAGAATAATAAGTATGAAGTACTTTTCCTTATAAAAGTTGGTAATTTTCTGACCTGGTTCAATACTCGATCAGTGACTGATGCACCTTCTTTACCTTTTCCACGTGTGGTTGTCAACGCATCCAACTGAAAACGGCAAAAATAATTATCAAGACACAATGAAACTAATAGTGAGGCATTCCAGCAAACAATTGAACAACAAAATCAGTTTGCCAAGAACTCATAAGCCCCTTCATATAGATCAAGGAAAGTACAATGGATACACAAGTACAACAAAATGAGTTTGCCGAGAACTCATATAAGCCCTTCATAGATCAAGGAAATTTACAAGGGATAATCTGCACATAACTTGTCAACCAAGTAAACAAAAAATGACTTTCCAACATGCACAATGATGACTGCAAGTGCAAGGTGGAGAGTGAGATTTACAAACATAACAAATATAGGAACACAACAAATACAGATTGCAATAATAAGGATAACACATTCAGAGAAATAGAATTTCACACAAGAAATTTTATAGTTTACAGATTAGAATTAATTGATTGTGTCATGATAAATATTGGAGTTAACCAACATTCCTAAGGACAAAGAACCACAAACCTCATCAAAAAATAGTATGCAAGGTGCACATGTCCTTGCTGCATCAAAGATTTTCCGAACATTATTCTCACTTACTCCAACATATTCATTTAGAATATCAGGTCCCTAACAAGTCAATAAAAACAATTTAGAACATTTAAAAATGGATTATCATAAACAGAGAAACATTATACAAACCAAAACTGTTAAAATAGAACATGATATTTTAGACAAACCTTAATATGACGGAAACTAACTCCTGCAGCATTGGCAACAGCTTTGGCAACCAGTGGTTTATCACAACCTGGAGGTCCATAAAGCAAAAATCCTGTCGAAAGATCTAGCCCAAATCCCTGAAATGAATAAATCCAATAATATTGATTAGTGATCCGCATGTGACATACAACTAATCTTATTTTTTCATGAAGCAGCAAAGACAAAACAATTGATCAATTTTAGAGTACAAAAATAAAATATAGCAAGAGAATTGGATAATAGTATAGTAATACACAAATAAGGAAGCTGATCCAACTATAAGGTTGCACTATTACTCTGGAACATGACAGAAACAAACCAATTGGTGCAAACAGAAACAGGGATTCTTCACTCAAATTTTGACAACTAGTTTGATCAAAAAATTTGAAGAGAGAAAAGAGGCCAAAATGAATATTAAGAAAACAACAGTATTAAAATTGGTTATGGTACATTTTGCAATCATTTTGGTTATAAAAATAAAATATACCAGATACAATGTCAATCCTTTCCCAACTTAGCTCTTTACAGTTCATATAACCAAAAGTGAATGAAATAGAGATAGAAAACCAGGGAAAAGCAAACCAAGGTCAGGGATTGTTAATGCTGAAATTAGGTTATTATAGTTTACATCAAGATAAAAGATGGAAGGTCTAGTAGGTGACAATGTAAAGTTTTTCAAACAATTAAGGGAGGATAGTGTAGGGATAGAAAAAAATGAGTGTATGTGCAATCTCACAAAACGTCAAAACCTCAATGGGTGTTATGTAATTTACACAAACTATTTTCCGGTCCTAAACTTCAGATATAATCCTCAACAATACAAAACAGATTCCTCATCTCACCTCGCTCTCTTCCTCTAAAACCTATATATATTGCTGCTGCCTACCCAGAACAAATTTGTCTCTTCTAAAATTCTAACTGCCTTGGGTCCCACAGAATTTCTTCTTCACATATATATTTTCCCTTTGCTGACTTATTAGTTGGAGTTTTAACAAATAGACTGCCCTGATGTTTCCTTTTCTAAAATCCAGGCCATCCATCATCTTTTTATTACAAATACGCTGCTATTTATTTCATCTCACTATTTAATCACAAAAAAGAGAAGCTTGATGCATGAGCCAACTTTGATTTAACAGCAATTGTAATATATAATAAAAATAAAAGAAGTGCAGTATTTGAAAATTACCTCATAATCACCTGGACATTTTATAGGCCCTATGATATAGTCATCAAACTCGTTTCTTAAGAGATCAAGCCCACCAACATCTTCCCATTTTACATCAGGAATGGGATTGAACCCTTCTCTTCTTTCTGAAGATTGCACCATTTTGACTGCTTCCTGCATAGGTTTCAAGGAAAATCTAAGGCTTGCAAGACTTATAACAATTTTTTTATAAAAAGAAATTTTACTGGAGATAGAAAAGGTGGAGGATAAGACCCATGGCCAACATAAATACAATATTTTTCATACATTCTAAAGCTTTTGGACCTAATCTTTCGAACACATTGTGAAAACATACAAAAATGATCACTGCCATGTATATTCCAGTCTAACATAAGCATGGGAGTCCTATGCATGTGAACTTCATGTATATGGATCACTATTTAGCCCACTAAACCCTAAACCCTAAACCCTAAACTCTATAAAGGAGCTGCACATTTTATAGATATTTTTGAAGCAAAATATCAAATTATGACATTATTTATTAAAATTAACTAATTTAACTACTCTCACTGTTTTTTTTTTATGAATTGGTATTTTTTTTGTTATGTAGGATCGGAGGCAGTAACAAAAAATGAAAGAAATCTAGAGAACCTCCAAATCAGACATTGTGATGGCAGCCTTGTCCACTTCTTCTGGCGACCAAGGTTCACTAAAACAGTCCTCTGGAGGCTCTGCTGTGGTATACCTTTCATAAATTATTCTCTTCATGGCCAATGAACCAGCATGACTGATCACACTCTTCAAATCAGAAGCAACAAATGCTGATGTAGATTTAGCTATCTTTAATAGATCAATGGGACCCTGAAGTTTAACATTGCGAGTAAGAACGGAAAGGATCTCCTCCCTGGCAGATTCATCAGGCATGCCAATATAAATCTCACGATCAAATCTTCCAGGTCTCCTAAGGGCAGAGTCAATGACATTGGGCCTATTAGTAGCTCCAATAACAAGAACATTGCTGTTATTATCCGGTTGATCCATGGATGTCAACAACTGGGTGACAATTCGTTTCTCCATCTCGCGCGATAAATCCTCTCTTTTTGAAGCAATTGCATCAATCTCATCAATAAATATAATTGATGGGGCAGTCCTGTGTGCTTTAGAGAAAATATCTCTAATATTCTGTTCAGATTCACCTGAAGCAATATAAACAATCATAACCAAAATTATAACCAATCAACCATGTCCAGGGTACTAAGTTCAAACTTGTTGCAGCCATTGTAATTCCTATAAACTAAAAAACAATAATCTAGAGGCATTTAACATAAATGAAGCAATGAAGGAAGACATGTGATTATGCAATAGCAGCTAGCTACCTGAGATTCCAGACACCACTTGGGCAGGTGAAATTTGATAAAAAGGGAATCCAGTTTGATGAGCTATAGCATGAGCCAGTCTAGTCTTTCCACAGCCAGGAGGTCCATGCAACAAAATGCCCGATGTGGGACTCATTCCCAAATCTCTAGCCACCTGGGGCTGGTAAAACGGCAACAGCAACACATCAAGTTCCTTCCTAATCTTCTTAATCCCACCCAAATCGCTAAACCCTATCCCCTTCACCTTCTCATCATCACCATCACCCTTCAATCGCTTCCTGGACGACTTCAACGTGGTTTCAGTTTCATTCACAGAGCCAACATTCTTTTCCTGCATCCCCAAATACGTATTCCGCAGCATTGTCTTGGTAAGGTCGAACGAAAGCTCCGATGGAGTGCCGTTGTCGGCGTCACTCTCGGAAGAGGTGCTGCGCCTCTTCCGTGAGGGTTGAAGAAGTTGCTCGTCGTCGTTACCGTGTGAGGGTAGAAGAGCTTCGTGGACCAATCGAAATAGAGCATGGTGCTTGATTCGGCGGTAATCAGGGTAGGTTGAACGAAGACGTTGAACAATTTGGTCGGTAGTACGGTGCGTGGTTTGGTCGGAGGAAGGGTAGAGGGACTCCACTCGACGACGGAGGGTTTCTTGGCCGTTTCGTCTTCTTCCCATCCCGAGGAAGGGACGGTGGCGGTGTGGAACGGTGGTGGTGGCCGTGCACGGTGGAGGTCAACCTAAACCCTAAACCCTGTCAATATTTGTATTAAAAAAATGAAATTATGTATATCTTTCATTATCGGTAAATATATCATTTTTAAGGGATAAATCTATCATTTATTATTTATTATTTATTATTTATTATATTCTCCTTTTTATATATTATATGTCTATCTATTTTATTATAGCTTTGAATATTAATTCCGATTTGAAACAATTCTAGATTTAGATTTGAGACAAAAATGAATTAATTATGATTATAATATGTGACGATTCGCCATGATTTCTACACTTAGTGAAATTGCACTATTACTAGTGAACTAAGAGAAATTGGACAACTCATACATACATACATATATATATATATATATATGCT